AAAATTCTAAAAAAAGAAGAAAATTGTATCGATTGCAATAAATCGATAAAAAAAAATACGAACTTTTATCACATTCCAAAACATCCTCCGAAACAAAGCTTCGCTTCCTCCTCGCTATCGTGACTATTTTATTATATTTATACCGAACGATCGAAAAATCGGATCGGTAAAGGAAGCAAAAGGGGATTAAAATCGCATTAATTTCGCTTGGGAGCATGTTGCAGCAAGCGCGCTTTTTGCACAATCCTAATCATAATTTCGCGCGTGCGTATCGGTCTTGGCTATCGGGTATGTTGTTTAGCGCAGATTGTCTGGCACGAACGATTTGTTTGTACGATTTTCTTTTTTTTTTTCCGCGAACAATTCGCGGGCTCAAAAAAAAAACACGGGCTCGTATAACGTATGTCGCTCGTAAACGTCGAAACAGTCATAATTCAGACGCAGAAACAATTTAAAAAAAAAAAAAAAAAAAAGAACGTGTTTGTAGAGAAACGCGCGTGGATCGAGTAGAACAGATGTGCATCATAGAGGATCGATCATTGTGACTGCTGGTCCCACCTTGCTTCGTTTCGCATCTGTCCTGATCAGTCCATCGAGGAACCGCAACACCGATGCAACAACGATAATTTTTTTTTATATGTATTATATATATATATAAATTCGCCATATTCTACACATCTCTCGCCAACTCTTCTCATTTATTAGCTCATGTATAGTTGTAGAATAAGAATCGAAGCGATGTTCTGGTGTATGATATTACGTATCATCGATCATATATATATATATATATATATATTTAGATATATATATTTGGTCATAGAGAAGAGACAGTAGTTTGAATCTCGTTCACGAGATTCAAGAGATCAGAGTCATTTGATCTCTGACTCGACAAATATATATTCGCGATGCAAATGTCGATCTTACACGTCACATATTACCGTCCATAAGTCACGAAAAGATTTTGACGAGAAGAATCAAGAAACAACTTACGTCAAACAATATTATTATAATTTAAAATTGGAAAATTGGCGTATCTGGTGGTGAGTGACTTACGAACGACAGTGTGTGCAACATTGTATATACAAATGACAAATGGGATCCGACTCTGATCTAAAGATCTCTAATAGCTAGCAAACGATCTAACACCGAACACGCGATGAATTCACGCGATTCGATTCGATTCGATACAATCGATATATCGGTGTAGCGCGTCTCCTCGTTCCCTCGTGCGATGATGTGCCAAAATTCATGGAAACAAATTCCGTGTGATTGCAGTCGGATTGCAACCGGTACACTAAGGTGCGCGGAGGCCGTTCGTCCTCTGCGCCGTTGCACAAAACGCACAAGGTCAGTCAGGGCAAGTCCGAGTCGGAGGAATACGACACCCTGGGCTCGGACAGCGACACGGAAGTCGGGACCAGCAGCCGAACCGAGTCTTCAAATCACCTCGTCGATTCGCACCACTCGGTGTCTGCGGCCGACTCGCGTGTCCACAGTATGCAAATCTTTCATCCTTCTATCTTTCGCCTTCTTTCATTCCTCCAAAATGTCTATCTCTGTCTCTCTGGCCCGTCTCCAGTTTCGTTTGATCCTGCTCTTTTTCAAGAAAAAAAAAAAAAAAAAAAGAAAAAGAGGACGCGCTTCTCGTTCCTCGACCTCCCTTTTGACCATGTGACAGGGAAAAAAAAGAAGAAGAAAATAAAAAAATGTAAAAAAAAAAAAAGAAAGGGAAACGAAAGGAGAGGAGGAGTGTTATCTAGTTTTTTTTCCATGCACCACAGTACAGGATGTCCGTTCCCCCGTTGCCTGTCTATATATATATATATATATTTATATATATTGTTTATTTAGAGTGCACCAAATATGTGATCGAGTATTTCACGCTTGTTTGTTGTCTTCGTTGGAACGGAATCAGGGGGGAAGTCGTCGTTTCGAAGGAACGGTGTCGCGCGACATCACCCTTTCTATCTATTCACCGGGGAAAAATCGTTGCGTTCTCTCTTGCTTTCAGACTTCCTGTACCATGGACCAGAATCTAGCACGTCTACAGAACCCTCACCGATTTTTGAGAGAAAATCGTTTCCTGGAAGGGGAAGATCCAAGTAAGGGATTATTGTATATTGTATAAGGGGAAAAGTTTGAAACGAAATGAATTAATCGATGCTCTGGTTGCCTCTCGAAGGATGTTACAGCTGGCGCGTCATACCAGCGAGGAGACCCGTTCCAACTTCGGCCCAATCTCCGGGTTTGGCAATTCCAAGCACCAGTCGAGCAATTCCTGCTCCAATCGGGACCAGGAGCGTGACGGATCAGGGAATCTGTTCGTCCCCAAGCTGGACCCACCCTCGGGCTTCTCCGACGCGTTTGAGCTAAGCGAGGCGGAGTGCGACCTCGATCGCGGCCAACGAAACGTCCGTGACTTTGTAATCGCGGTGTAAATAAAATAATGAAGAATTGTAGAGAATCTCCACGATGATATACCAAGCGAAACGAACGAAACCCCATTTCAAATATCTCGATGTAAAGGGAAAAAAGAAAAAGAAAAAGAAAAGAAAGAGGAATACCATCGTGGTCCGTCTTTCGTTAATTTATTCATCGGCCATCGTGGCCATCACGATGGCAATCGATNGTGCGTGCCCCCCTCCGTTCGTGTTCCTGGCCTATGTCGATGGAAAAAAGAAAAAAAAAAGCGTCGTATCCTAGAAACGAAACGAACGTACCTATCTACGAACTCATGTATTCTTCAAACTGCCAATTTTAGTTTTTCGATTACGATCACGGGGAAAAGAAAGAGCCTGCGACCATCGTTCGTTCGATTTTTCGAATCGATCAAACTTTTTTATCGATCGTCTCGTTGTTTACGAGAGAAAACGAGGATCATCCTATAAGAGACTCGACTCGATTCCCCTACCTTTTCAACAAATTAGGTAAATTTTTATCGCAGGTTTTATCGAACGACGATTACACGGCATAATTGCTCGAGTTCGAGATCGACAACAACGCCCGTTTGACGTATGAGTTTCATTCGGCGTTAAGACTGCGACAGATGAGAGCCACAACTCTGCCATAAACGCGATACACGAGGAAGATTTTTTTCGACTTCCTGACGAGAAAAGACTCTTATTATCTTTTAATTAATTAATCAAAGACTCGAATCGTACTGAATACTCGAATCGTCGAAATCGCGAATCGTCCTATTAAGACTACGTTGCAGCATAGATTCCACGAAGAAATATCGGTTTCCATTCAATACCGAGCGCATATCCCAAACGAGCAATACGAGTGTTACGATTTGTTACGAGTTTACTTGGTCTTCCAGTTTCGTAGATCTACGTTTTACTGATTTTCAATCAGTCGTCTTTTTTCAATAAAGAAAAAAAAAATGAATAACGTAAAGCGTGAACAAATTCCTTTCGCAAGCGTATTTCTCGTTCGTGTGAACCAGCTATGTGTACAAATAACGAAAGCTAGGCCGTGAAAGAACAAAAATGTTTGTTTCGTCGTTGTCATCGGTGTCGTTTCATTTACTGCGAGACTGAAATATTTTTTTTTTTTTTTTAGTAGATGAAACGTGTAGCCTAAAACTTTAACGTTCAAAGCAAAATAAGAAAAAGAAAAAAAAAGAATAAAATAAATAAATAAATAAAATTGTCTGTAAGATGTCTATAATTACCAATGCTGTTAATTGTTAAGGTACGTGTTCGTGTACCTCGACGGAAAGAAACGAACGCGCGAACGACGCGGATCACGAAGAAACGAAGGGAAATAAAAAAAAGATTCTAGTTCTACTTGGTTGAAACGTTGAAACTGAAAGCGATCGTTTCGCCGCGTTTGAATTTCGCGCGTCGATCGACGGACCGAGCGATACGCTATGGAAAACAGACGACGAAACCAAAAAACAAAAAAGCAAAAAAAAAAAAGAAAAAAGAAATAAAAGATAAAGTAAAAAACTAAAGTAAAAAAATAAAAGGAAGAAAAAA